AGGCTGGTCTTGAACTCGCAATGATCCTCCTGCCTCAGCCTCCCGACTGCTGGGATTACAGGCATGCACCATCACGCCCAGGCTGCAATATTATTTTTGATGAGTTATTAGACTGAGGAATCAATACTTAGCTGCTGTGTGTCTCGGTGTCAGTGGAGTTTTAACAGAATTTGTCAAGTTAACCTGGTGCACAAGATAGGACCCGAGGACGTGATGACAGCATTCAGATGTGTTCCTTCCAAGCTCTGCCACTGTCCCTGATGGAATCCTTTGCAAGCAGCACTGGTGTCAGGCAGAGTGGGCAGGACAGGGGAGAGTCACCTCTCCTTGTCCCCTGGGTTCTGTGAGGGGAGACAAAAACCAAGCACAGCCTACACACAAAAGAAAACTGAACACACAAATGACACAGAAAACTTTAACAACAACAGTAATTCCTGTCACAGGTTCCTCAGGATTAAACAAGAAAGTACACTGGGAAGTGTAGCATGTGTATCTAGAATATATCACATGAAAATAGTACAATATGCTGGGGATTTAGCTCAGTGGCATAAGTGCCTACCTGGCAAGCACGAGGTCCTGCGTTCAATTTCCTGTACCAAAAAAAAAAAAAGAATATATTATGATATTCGTGTTTGTCCCACGGTCTGCATTTTATAGCAAAACATAGATATGAAAAGAGCTTTTGGTTGCTTTGATAATAACCAAGCTTCTTTATCTAGAAAAAGAAAAATCAATTGTTGAAGACTGCTTCTTTCTCCTTAGTAAGCTAGCATTTCTTATTTGTTAAACAGTATATTACAAAAATGTACTAGAGTAAAACACAATGCTTTTATACCATGTATTTACTGCACAGAAGCCAGTATTTCCAGAAATAATAAAGATTCTAGCTCTATTTAAGCATTTGTTTACTGCATGCTGTGAACTTCTAGACTGAGCCTCAGAGAAAGGAACTTGACGCGAACACTCATACCTTACAGAATACGAACATTAAGTCGTCCAACTGGCCGTGTAAGTCTCCTAACAAAGGGAAAGAGTATCAGTTCTGATCGGTCCTTACTCTTGTTTTCTAATTTTTACTGAAAGGAGGAAAACCCTGCATTAGAAAAATCTGACAAAGAATCGGAGGCTCACTGATTTCCCACATGTCACAAAGGGACACTCGTTAACTCGCCCTTGCTGCAGAAAGCACCACTGCTCCTGCACGGCCATTGTAAAGAGTGAGTGACCTGAAGTTTCAGCAGTGATGCACGGAGCACTGCAGGCCTGGAGAACGGGAGGGCTCTGCTCCAGTTACGGGCCAGCATTACGCGAGATTTCCAGAGAAGTTGCAAACCTAGACTTTAATGGGATATCCTCCAGTTGCCGAGTGTCGGGACACTGATGTTTAGAGTCTGAGGTCACAGAGGACACACAGGACATG